AGCAAATACAATGGGGAAACCAGATTCACTTAACAATTGTGTTACTAATTTAAGAACTGCAGTGATTCGCTTAACAATTGTGGCAAGAGAAGTGGTAAAAATGGGGCAAAACTCGCTTTAACAAATTTTTCACTTAGCAACATAAATTTTGGTCTCAATTGTGGTCGTAAGTTGAGGACCACCTATATTGTCTATAGGATATTTGTATAAGGATCATTTCTCAATATATTTACAATTTACAATCAGTTACCTTGTCATTAAACCAAAGCCAACCCTCACTGCACCCTTTTGGAATTGCAGGTAATGTGGGCGCTGCAGTTGTACGGACAGAGCTATTGTGTCTCTCGCAGATGAATGTTGTCTCAACACCACAGTTTAAATCATTCCATACACCTGATCAAAGAAATTATATTGTCACCTCGGAAGATTAAATTATTCTTAAATAGCAACAGCTCATATAATGTATATGTTGTAATTGAAATAATGAGGATAAGAATAATAGAAAGTGCAATAATACATACTGGAATGCTACAGTATTTGTGAAGCAATAGAAGCAGTTCTCCCTTATTGATCACTCATTCAATAACCACTTAAAATTGCAATGGCATTAAAAAAGATTTAGGGCTAGTCCTCAAAGTGGCAGCCATTGCCACATCTCTATGGTCACATGATTATGATGCAGGATCGTGGGAGTTGACATATGTTTAAGACTGTTTCAGTTACCCACGGTCACTTGATTGTTATTTATGACCTTCACAACCAGCGTTCAACAAGCAGAACCAATGGAAAAAGATGGCAGAAACCTGCAAGTCACACACATGACATCATGCTTAATGACTGCAGGTAATTTCACGAACATGTGCAGCTGGAACTATCATGGTAAATCAGGTGCAGCCATGAGTGTTTCATCTTATGATTGTATGGTTTAGTGATGGAGTTGTCAGTTCCAGGTGTGGTAAGTAAGTGAGGATTACTTGTTTCTTATTTTCGTAGTCTGTATGTTAATAATTCCAAAATATGGTTCTATAGAAGAGATAGATGGGTGATTGTCTATCTCTTTTGGAATACAATTGCCTTAATCCTTGACTATTAACAAGACTATTTGGGGTTTATGAGAATTGCAAATTAGAAATTGGTTTTTCCTGGGATAGTATAATACAGTAAAGAAGTAAAGTAGGATTGGATTTATGGATAAAACTTTAAATTCTTGGTTGGAGAATATGCTACACTATTATTAAGTATTTTGTTAATGTACATATATCATAATATAAAACATACTAATTAGAATTATAAAATAATGGTTTTCCAATGATAGGTTCTATGATAATGTGTGCCAGTTAGCTCAAATTAAACAATGCTGTGCCTTATCCTGAACATATGCATACAGAGAACTGTTATAAACATGAAGTTTTTATTACTTGCCTGAATCAGAATACATAACTACACAGTTTTCATCATCATTTGCAAAGTTGGGTTCACCGGGGGACCAGGCTTCATATGTCACTGGAGTTCCATCCATCCATCTGAAGAAAAAAAATCGACAGTCACCTATGATGCATGAATTTATTAAACTTACTTTTTTTTTTGTATTACCTTTTTTTTTTTTTTTTGTATTTTTCTTTTACCAAAGAGATAGCAGGATGAGGAGTGGGGGGAATGAGGTAGCTTTTGAAATATCATCTGTAAAATATTGGCCTGAAGCTGTTTCTGACCATTCTAAGTTTTGGAAAAGTCTGATTCAATCCTGAAACTTCAAAATCCAAGCAAAACCATTTCTGAATCACAATATTTATGAAATGGTTTGTACAGTAATAAAACATCCCTGTTGAGGTCCAAATAGTGCTCTGAATGCACAACAACTGTTGAAAGCTTAAGAAGGTTGTGAGGCTAGGAAATGGTTGCAAATGGTTTATACACTTCCATTATTTAATATAATGGTATAAACCAGGGGTAGTCAACCTTTTTATACCTACCACCCACTTTTTTTATCTCTGTTAGTAGTAAAATTTTCTAACCGCCCATGGTTCCACAGTAATGGTGATTTATAAAGAAGGGAAGTAACCTTACTTTATAAAATTTATAAAGCAGAGTTACAGCAAACCCCTACCGCCCACCATGAAAGCTAGAATGCCCACTAGTGGGCAGTAGGGACTAGGTAGACTACCACTGGTATAAACCATTATAATGGCATAAACCATTATTTAACGTCCACATTATTTAAAGACAAAATAATCCCACCAAGTGGACATTGTAAAACAAAAGTAACTGAAATAATGCAAGCAATCCATGACATTTCTTGAGTTTGGCTGATCACATGACCAAAGGATGCCGTAACGAATCATATGCTGCTTGCCTGCTGCTTTCCAAATTTTACTCATGCAATCATGGCCAGAACTTTGAGGACCAGTTGAGAGTCCCTTCACTCAGTGCCACCCTAATTTTAAACAATCATTGAATGAAGGGTCGAAATTATAAAAGCATACTGGATTGTCAATTATCTAGATTTACAAGAAAAGAAAAAAATGATGAGACTCTAATACAAGTAGGCCTTAATTTACAACAATCCATTTAGTGGCAATTCAAAGTTGTAGCAGCACTGTAAAAAGTTATTTATGACCATTTTTCACACTTATGACCATTGCACCATCCCTATGATCACATGGTCAGAATTCAGATGCTTGATTACTGACTCATATTTGGGGTAGTTGCAGTCTCCTGGTGTCATGTGGAATCATCTTTTGTAACTTTCTGATGAGTAAAGTCAACAGGGAAGTCATATTCACTTAACAACCATGTTACTAACTTAACAACAGCAGTGATTTGCTTAACAACTGAGTTAAGATAAGTGGTAAAATGAGGCAAAATTCACTTAACAACTGTATCGCTTAGCAACATAAATTTGGGGTTCAATTGTGATTGTAACCTAATAATGTTCAAAAGGTTGAAATATCACATGGCAATATTCATTGTTGCATAGAGTTAAATGTCTGTGCTTGGGTTTTTATTATCAAATCTCTAATGGTATCTTGGGGGCTTGAGAAAGATTCACAGCATGCCTACCTGCACATTCCTTGGTGAACCGTTTCCTCTCTGGCTCAAAGATGGTTATTAGTAAAAACCGAAGAATCACTTATCTTAAGAAATGAAGTGATAAATTGTGTTCCAAAATGAAAGCAATGCAATGAAAGCTGATTTTTAAAAAAATCTTATTGTTATCCCTTTCATTGAATCTTGGTTTTTTTTAAAAAAGGCCTGTCAAAATCTTGGCAAGGGTTTTGACAAGACCTTAATAAGATCTTTATTTATATTTTTTCAGGTTTATTATTAAAAATAATTTTAAAACAGAATTACATTGCACACTGCAGCATTTTGTTAATGTTTTATATACGTTGTTTACGTACCCGAACTTTTTGTCAAGGCCCAAGGTTAAACCAATGTAAGTATTATGATTTTCATAATGGAAGATCTAATACATAAAAGAAAGAATAGGAAATAAAAATAATTATTTACTGCTTTAATATACAGTAATGGTGATTTGCAAATCATTTTGAATGGAAGGAACTAAATATAAAATAAATGACATAATTTTGAAATATGTTCTGCTTTTTAATATGATAGTACTTTTGAAAATTCATTTGAGTAAAATGGTAGCATCTAAATTATTGTGTTTTTTAAAATAATTTGTTTCTAAGTTGACTGCATTAAACTTCCATTGATGTTAAAGGGTCTCATCTTAATATATATTTTATCCAAGAGTTAAGAACTTCAGTTTCTGAAAACCTCTGGCTATCACATCACACACACCTGTATTACACAGACACACATTTCCCTCTCATTTTGAATAAGTAATTTTTGCATATATTTCTTACATATTTCCACAAAAATATATTTTCTTCTTTACTCTCAATGGTGGTAAGATCGCCACCATGTTGTTTGCAGAACTTCCTGGCTTTTTCTGCAGGCATTATTGTATTACTGAAATAATACTCATTGCTTTTATATTCAATCCAGCCATCTTCAATTCTTATAAAAGAATGTTCTGCAAAAGAAGATGTAGAAGAAACGATTTATAGGTCTAGGATCCCTTTGCATGCATTCCACAAAATCATAAAGCAAACAGAACGACTTGAAGATTATGTGCTATCATTTGGGGCAAAGCTCTTCCTTCCAAAATCTTCTGGATATGAACAAGCACACCCAAAACACGCATTCCTGTAATAGCTGACAAATTGACCTCAACTCAGTGCTTCCAATAACTGGAAAATGGCTTCTACACAAATGTTCCAAAATACCCCAAAGTCTCTTCTGGGACAAAGCAGTATAAAACGAAGCAATGAGGAGGCCATTTTAATTTGCCTACAGAACTAGCTGGAGAGAGAAATGGGTTGTTGCCTTAGGCAACTGCTTAGCTCATTTGATTCAATCAAATCACTATCAAATGCAAACATTTCATCAAAGCTTTGTATATTTGGTAATGTTTTCTAAACATGTCCAATGATTTCTTATGGATATGAAAAGTGTCGTAATTTTTAGTAACTCTTCTTTGGTTATATTTCTACATATGCTTGGGAAACCCCTACTCAATTAATGCCTATAAAGAGAAAAATGACACCTTCCTTTCACTTAGGGAAAATCACAATGTCTGTAGTTTCACACCATGCAGAGCCAATATCTGGCTTTCTTCAGTGTTCTGAAAAATCGGTCTGCTTACAAACTCAACTGTCATGCATCACATTTTAGGAATGTTTCTTTATGTTATGCAGCCAAATTTAGCTCAAAGCAGTCTGATTCAAATCAAACTAAAATACAATGCACAACCATAGTTTTTAGTAAACATTGCATACAATATTTTTGACATTAAATTGCTCAACGTACCAAAGTCATCGACTGGTTGGTTTGTTGGTATGGTTAAACCTGCAAAATTAAATATTTTAATTACAAGAAATTCAAGCCAATCTTATCACATTACTCCATTTTGCAAAAAGCAATCCACAAAAACTGAAATGTTGTACTAGCTTAATGTATTTCTATATTTACAAGGAAATAAAATCATAGAAATCTAGATCCCAGTTTTGCCCAAAATCCAAATGGCCCCCATTTTTGAAAGAGCTATAAAGCCCTGGCTCTTCACTTATGCCCTTGGCAAGGAAGAATAAGTTTCCTTCCTTCATTGCTCTTGCCATCTTTTATCTTTTTATTGGTTTTACTGTAATTTCTTTGATTCTTATGAGCCCAGAGCGATTGAAAGTCAGACAGTGTATAGGTTAGTAAATTATTAATATTATTGCTATTATTATTATTATTAATTTTTTTGGCACCAATAATGCCATCAGTGTACTACATTCTTGAGCATCATTTAGATATATTTGACATTGTACTCTGTTACTTAGGTTGTATATACAAATATAAAATCTGCAGTAAAAGTGAATTGTATTTAAGACCCTCAAATTTCTCTCCCAAAAGAAAGGGGACCATCACATAAATGCTAAAAGAACCATAAATGCTTTTTAAAAAGTTGTGCAATGAATACATTCTCTATTGTCTGTACTAATAAACTACATGAGAATGAAAAACATATTACCTCTTGCAATTTGACAGATCCAATATCCTAATAGGCTGCATCTCTTTGAAGACCAATATCTAGTATTTCCCCATATTGATTTGCATCTTTCATTATTTTCACTTTCTGAATAATACCAATGTGAGTTTGGTTCATAATTTACCTATAGTAAAATTAAATTATATTTACATATTTATTTTCTAAAGCCATAGATTTTAATATTCAGAAAAAGCAACAAATGTACCATAATTGCCTTTTAATAATGTCCACATGTTTGATGGGCTATTAGCAAAAAATTTCTAATGTGGTTCTGAGTACTGAAATAGAAGAAGTGGCAGCTGGCATGTACTTTTCACATCAGCCTGATTCACTAACTCAGTGTATTTATATACAGCTTCATATATTTTAACACAAAATATGGTGTAACTCTAAAAGAGGAACTAACTATAGTTGTAACTTTTATAAGATATCTGTACGGCTTTGTTCTTATGTTGTTCCTGGGATAGGATCAGTGGTGGGATTCAACCAGTTCGCACCTATTCAGGGGAACTATTTGTTAAATTTCTGAGCAGTTCAGAAAACCGGTTGTTGGAAGAAATCTTCCAACAGACTTTTGGTTTTTTCCACTTTTTCCACTTTACTAATCCTGCCAGGAAGGCAGGAAGGAAATATTCTGGTATTGTTTTCAACCTAATCCTTATCTTTATTTCCCTGTTTACAGAAACTGCCTTATTACATTGTAACAGCTAATGATTCTTGGCAGTACACCCAGAATTTCTGTCTCTTCTCCGGAAGTTTTTTCCCCCTTTTGTTGGTAATAGGGGTTTGACTTTCTTAAAACGAAAGGGTTGCTTTAAGCTTTTTACATTGCTTTAGTGGTTTCTGGCACTGTCCTTTTGGGGTGTACTTCCAAGAGGTATGAGGCAAGCTTGGCATTCTGTCTGATTTTTTTTTTTACTACCTATCTGGGACATGTGATCTTTTCTTAAATCTGTATGATTTCCTTAGGATATCTTGTGAGGTGAGTGAGACCAGCTGGTATCTTTAAGTTGTGGAAATGGATCTAAGGATTGCTTCTTCTGGGTGTGAAAGGGTACTTTGTAAGTTCACTGAGTACAGGAGTCTCTTGTCTATGGGGATTCTTCAGTCATCCAGGTCAAGGCTATCCCAAAGGTGTTTTTTTTTTCCAAAAGACAACTGGACTTTCTTGGATTCCAGAAAATCCAGTTGCCTCTTGGAAAAGCACCTTTAGGACAGGAGTCTCTTGTATTGCTTTGGAATGGCTACGGCACAACATTACTCACTGATAGTAAGATTTTAAAAGCGGGGGGAGGTAGGGGTGTGGATCCTCCAGTTCATTTTAGTTTTCTCTCATGACAGTAACATGGCACCAAGTTTGAAGTTTATTTAAGGCACATATTGATTTTATTGTGATCCTGACAAGCTTGGAAAGCTTGAACCTGGATCTCCTATATAATTTGTTAATTTGTCTCTTTAGCTTGGCATTTTGTAGCCAAAATATGCTCACTCACTTTCTGGTGAGCTTAAATGATGTCTCTGCTGAAGGGTTTCACTTTATGAGCAAGAATTGGCTGCTGATAGTTATCATTGCATTTTAATTATTTCAATTTCTCAAGATGCTCTGGAACCCTGCCTGATTTGTAACTCCAGCTTGCAGATATTTCTAATCTAATGATTGCTGTTTAGGGGAGCATTTTGCAATCAAAGAAGCTTTTTGTATTTTTGTACAGGTAATCCTTGACTTACAACAGTTCATTTGGTGACAATTGAAAGTTACAATGGCACTGAAAAAAGTGACATGACTGTTTTTCACATTCATGACCATAGCAGTATTGCCACAGTCATGAGATGCCAGGTGAGGTGAATCACCTCTCCACATGAGTGATGTCAAATTGGCCACACCCACCAAGCCACATGACCATCCAGCCACACCTATCCAGCTGATCATTAGGGCAGAGAACCAGCTGTTAAATTATTTAAATCCCACCACTGGAGAGGATGCTTATGAAATGTTGTTGGTTGCATCTTGAAGGTCAAGGAGACAAAGGGTTTGAGGGTAGGACAAGAATCAATAGGGGAAGCATCTATATAGTCTTTAAAAGCAACCCCATGTACAGCACATTTCAGCAGTCCAAATAAAAAAGCATGATAAGTGTGACTGTGGATGGTGTCTCACATTCTAAGAAAGGCTGTAAATGGCACAATAGATGAAGTTGTGCAAAAGTCCCTCCTCATCATAAATGCAGCATACCTCAAGGGAGCATGTTGCCATCCATAATTAGAAATGGAATCTCCCTGCAGTCAGTTGGCTTCTTAATTCCAAACTGCCTCAATTTGCTGGGATTAAGATCCCTAAGGTCTTATTTAAATATTCTCAATTTTAACTGTTTTTATGTTTATTTTTTTACTATTTTGTAAGTCATTCAGAGTAGCCTTATGGGCATAATTAATAGCATATAAATTAAATAAATTAATGAAAGAATATTTATCACCTCCAGAACCTAGCAAACTACAGACATGAGAAAAAGGGGATCAAATGAATCACCCGTTCATTCAATGGCTGAGATATAAGGTTATATATCCCTCATTGATCATATTTAACTTTGTGTCAATGGATCATATTACTGACCAGTTTTAGGTAGATGCTAAATAAAAGTGGAAAGGGTATTAGGCTCTGAGACAAACCATAATCCATGGTTTAGAAATTAACAGCCATGCCAATTGAAATCCCTCCTTCAGAAAGAAGGATCATGACAATAAAGTGTTCCTCTTTCCAAGTTCACGGAGTTGATCCAGAAGGATACCATGGTTGATAGCAATGAAAAGCCCACTGAGAAGTCAAGTAATATCAACAAAGGTGCAATCCTCCATCATGACCTTGCCAAAAATCAGCTATAAGTACGTATGACTTGTGTGTCTCCACTTCCAAACCTAAAGATATGGTTTCATGTAATTAACTTCTTCCAGAGTTCTTTACACTACAGCAAGGAAATACCTAAAGAAAGTTGGATATAGGTCAATAATTATCTAATATTTTCTGAAAAAACTATTCTTCTGAAAAGGTACAACACACTTCTTCAAGGCATGTGTACTGGTCCATCATCCAAGAATGCATTCATTGCTCCCCCTACACTAAATCTTTGTTACTTTTCCTTTGCCTTCCATAGTAATACAGGTTTTTCTGTTAGCAGGGAAAATGAGTGAAATCCAGTATTTAGAAATGTTGCTTGCTCAGTTCACTCCTTCCTCCCCAAAGGGGATCTTCCTTGCATTGGTCCTCTTTCTGGGTCACCCGCACAGTGATTAATTTCCACCTATCTCCTACATTTCTGTAGATCTCTTTTACTCTTCAATTGCTTTGGAGGTTTTCAGCCTTTTTTCCAGGGGCTCATGGTCAGCCACCATGCCATCTGCTTTTGGTAAGTGCAATGAAAATTATCTTCTTAATCTGGCAATAGCATCATCAGTATCAAAATAATCTGAATCAAGTCAAATAACGACCTTGTGTTTATATTAAGACTGTAATAATTCATTTAACAGTTAACTAGACTACTGTTATATGTATGAAAATATCTATAAAATATTACTAATACTTAATAATATTTAATACTTACTTACTAATACTTAATAATATTTAATGTACTACATTAAATATTAAGAATACCAGCAATTCCACTTAGCATCTATATTTTGCACATTACTTATATACTTACAGGAGACCCATCAGTCCAAGTGTATCCTGGGCTGGAATCCACAATTCTTAAACCAACCCAGCTGTATTGATATTGTAGCCTAAAATGCAAGAATCAGCAAATACATTAAAATATAATTTATGCACATCTTATTTAATGCAACACTGAAATTTCTTTTCTGTGTTTTTTTCCACATGCAGAATATAAGCATGTCAGTAAATGGACAACCCCAAGAAATATCCAAGATCTCAAATATGACATATGCCCTTACAGCTGAAATATACCCATTTGAATGGGAATAGATTCTGATGACTAATATAGAATTTAAGTATTCATGTATGGGATAATACTAAAAGGCTTGTTACTTTGATGATAATTGTAACTTAATCTATGCTTTTGAACAGTCATTATTATTTCTGTTGTAACCACTTAAGGAGGTTTTACTAAAAAAAGAAAAGAAAAATAGTTATGGCGAACTTAGCCACTGATTATTGACATAAATTGGATCTCTAATTCTTAAGGCCCTGAGAGAAAACTCAACTATATGCGAAGTACTTCAGAATGAATATATCTAGGGTTATGAGGTTTACACTAATTATATATTCTATGATGATGAATTCAGTGCTCCAATAAACCATTTGTCAGGAGTTTCTGCCTTGACATATAAAAAAATTAAGTTTATTATACTCACAGTTTGTTTACTAATAAAAACTCTTGTTTATTATGAAAGGAAGCCAGGTCTCCTCCAATTGATTTACAAAAGTCATGTGCCTCAAACCAAGTTTTCTTTTCAGTTTTCTTCTCTGTATAGGCCTAAATGCATATATATAAATACATCTCATTACAAATAAGCATTAACACTGCAGTTATCTACTACCCTTCTTAGCTCATATTTGATTATCTTTTCAATTAATTATCCAAATTTTTTTACATTTTTCTAACCAATAGAATACCTATTCTTCTTCTTCTTCTTCTTCTTCATCATCATCATCTTCTTCTTCTTCTTCTTCTTTTAACAACCTCATAATCCCTTGTGGGGTGGAGTCTGGGCAACTGAATGGAGCTGAGTGGCCAGATGCCCTTTATGTCGCCAGTGCAGAGTTATGTTCAGCAGATACATTCTCATTCTGCCCAGAGAGAGAAATAGCTGCCTCTACCTAAGATCAAACTCACAGCCTCCTGATTTTAAGGTGAGAGCTCCACTTTTAGGCCATTGCACCAGGGGTGGGTTGCTGCCGGCGTTACTGCCGGTTAGCAACCCGCACACAACCTGAATGCAACCTGCACACTCACTTTGCTCATGGGTGCAATGTAAATTATTCTGTGTGTGCAGAAAAATTTACAGTGAACTTTGCACGCATAGTCACTAAAATCCAAAATGGCGGCGGGCAAGCAGTAGCAAGGGAAATGGTTTGGGAGCATGGCAGGCCTGGGTCACTGCCAGTTCTGCGACCCAGGCCTGAATTCCCCTATCGGTTTGCCTGAACTAGGCTGAACCTGTAGCAACCCACCTCTGCACTGCACCACTCCTAATAGAATACCTATTGATGTTAAAGAGAAATTAAAGGGAGAGGGGTTGATTTTTTTTCTTTTTTGCTACTGCATTAATAGAGCTATGCAAATTGGATATAAAAGAACACTTGCTGAATTTTCTACACACATTCCCCTCTCTAAGAGCTGAGGTAGCGCAGTGGTTAGGGTGCAGTACTGCAGGCCACTTCAGCTGACTGTTATCTGCAGTTCAGCGGTTCTAATCTCACCGGCTCAAGGTTGACTCAGCCTTCCATCCTTCCGAGGTGGGTGAAATGAGGACCTGTTGTCTCCTGTGTGATTCAGCGT